ATTAGATATTTTCCCCCACTTTGTTGATGTCTATCTTTACTTCACTTTGGATTTCATCAGTGTTCTTTTTTACTTTGCTTTTGAATTTGTCAATGTCCTTTAGAACTTTGCTGGTGTCTTTCAGCATTTGTTCAAACTTGTTGTTGCAATTTCTCTGTATATCCCTTATAGCTTCATTGATATTTTCTTCAGATTTATTTTTGATTCAATTTCTCTTGGCCAGGTGGATAAGGTGCTCGACTCGCAATCTGAGGGTCGTGGGTTCGAATCACCATTACACCAAACATGCTTGCCCTTTCAGCCATGGGGGCATTATAATGTAACAGTCAATCCCACTATTCATTGGTAAAAGAGTAGCCCAAGAGTTGGCGGTGGGTGGTGATGACTACCTGCCTTCCCTCTAGTCTTACACTGCTAAATTAGGGACGGCTAGTGCAGATAGCCCTCGTGTAGCTTTGCGCGAAATTCAAAAACAAACAAACAATTTCTCTTTAAATATTATGTCCTTTCCTTTTAACTACTCTCTTAAATTCCTGTTATGTTCTTCCAATTTGTTGTCCCCTTCTTCTAATTTTTATTACTTTCTTCTTCATCTTCTTTAAATTTTCTATCTTGTTTTTCCTGCTTTTGTCTTAATACTTTCATCATTCCACATAACTCTTAATTCTCTCTCTTTGACCTCGTGGTTATCATCTTCAACAGTTAAAGTTATATTTTACTTTTCACCAAAATGTTATCCCTCTTTTGATACCAATGTAGTCGTGTAGTTATTTTGCTGGTGGGATCTTTTAAATTATCTGGTGAAAATAATTGAACTATCTGTCTACACAACTGTTATGTATCTGCTTGTTTGTTAATTTCCAATAGGAATTCTTTCTGAAAAACTTCAGCGATACAAGTCCTTTCTTGATTAAACCAGTTTATTCTTTATCAATACAAACTTTTAGAACATAGTAATTTCACAGTCTGGACGTTTCTCGTCAGTTTAAACTTAACAACTTTTATAATACATGCTATAAATCAAAGCGATTCACAATCTCGATAACTTCGCTCTCTACAAGTATGAAACACACACTTTATATTTCCTGAAAAACCGTAACTACCGTTCGCTTAACTATACATTCATCATTGTCCAATGGCTTTACTCAACAGGCCTATATACTAACAAAGAGGCTTCGACAAAATTCGAGGAGTTCCCCCATAATTCGGAAAACTCATTCACGCATGCACGAGCAGCATCACGTGACTTCTGCTGTTGTAACACTGCCCCTTCCTTAGTATTTCGTCCCGAACAATAACCACTTACATTAAACCTACAGATAATTAACAATAACTTAATTAAATGTACAGAATCTATAAAATCAAAATTAAAATACGACAAAGTCTCTTAATTTTAAGGAACGTTTCTACGTTTGTATTGTTCTCCATCTTATTGGCTTCTGCTTTACGTGGGATTCATCTGCTCTATCAGGAAATGTCCCATTATTGGTAGCAGTCACATCTGTGATAGTAACTTCATTAACAGCTTCACTGTTTTCTCAAATCTCAAAACTGGGTGGAGTTTCTTCTTCAACAGTGGCTTTTTAAGGTGACACATCTTCAGCAGCGTCATTTGTTCCATTGTTCATTTCATTCCAACTGAAATGTCCTGGACCGTGATAATGCTAAAGCCTGTTGGCATGCACTACTTTCAGCTTACCTTGCCGACCATATTTTATTTGGAAAGTCACATCTGAAAGACGATCCACTATGTCATATGGGCCTTCCCATGGAGAAGACAACTTAGGAGACTTCCCTTTGGTCTTCTTGGGATTATACAACCACACCTTGTCTCCTGGCACAAAGCTGACTTCGGTTGATCTCTTATCATAACATAGCTTCATGGAATTGGCAGACGTTTTTAAGTTCGAACACACTTGATGATGAATATCATCCATCCTTACAGATACTACTGTTATGTCTCCGTTCGTTAGTTAATTTTTCGTAAAAATTCTTTCCGAAGAAACTTTAGCGA